GGGGTCACCACCCCCTCCCCCACCCCCCAGGACCCCCCCGGTGCCGTGGGAAAAGCCGCTGGGATGGGGGTGGGGCAGGACCCCACCCCGAGGTGGGAGGCGCCATGCAAATCACACGCAAACGACATGCAAATAACATGCAAAGCATAGTAAAACACATGCAAATCGTATGCAAATCACATGCAAATGAGCAGCCCAATAAAGTCGTCTCGCAGGCAAAGCGTCGGCTCAGCTGGGGGCTCCTGTTCCACCCCTCACTGCCCCCCCACGACCACCCAAAAACACCCCAAAAACCCCAAAAAGACCCCCCCAAACCCCCCCATCCCACGTCCCCCTTTCCCCCTCAAATTTCCACCCCAAATTCTCCCAGATCTCCCCAAAATTTCCCCAAATCTCCCCCAAAATCCGCTCAAATTTCCTCCAAACCCCGTCCAAGTTTCCCCCAAATTTCCCCAAAATCTCCCCCAAAAGCTCCCCAAAACTCCCGAAATTTTCCCCAAATTTCCCCCAAATCCCTCCAAATTTTCCCAAAATTTCCCCCCCAATCCCTCCAAATTTCCCCCAAATTTCCCCCAAATCTGCCCCAAATTTTCCCCAAATCCCTCCAAATTTTCCCAAAATTTCCCCCAATTTTCCCCCTCCAAATTCCCTCCAAATTCCCACCAAATTTCCTCCAAATTTCCCCCAAATTGCCTCCAAATTCTCTCCAAATTTCCCCCAAATTCCCTCCAAATTTCCCCCGAATTTCCCCAACATTTCCCCCCAAATTTCCCCAAATTTTACCCAAATTTCCCCAAATTTCCCCCAAATCCCCCCAACCCCCCCTTCCTATTCAACCCTTCCTCTCTGCCTTTCCCGCCCTCCCATTGGCCGCCCCTCGCCCCGCCTCTCCTCCTCATTGGCTCCCCTTTCCCCGCACTCTCTTCCTATTGGGCGCAACCCCGCCCATCACCGCTCTCCCCGCTCTGCCATTGGCGGAGCCGCGCGGGGGCGGGGCGTTGCCAGGTTACAAAGGGCGGGCGCGGCCGGTCCGGGCCCAGATGGGCGAGCGCGGGGGCAGCGCGGGGGCCGCGGCCCCGGGGGGCGACACGGGGGGAACCCCGAGCTCCGCCGGGGGGAACGGGGGGACCCGCAGGCGCCGGGGGGCACCCCCGAAACCCGAACCCGCCTCCGCACACGGCGACAGCTCCGATGACCCCGCCGGGGACTTCAGGTAACGGGCCCAGCGCGGGAAACGCGACCCTCCCCTCACGGCGGGAGCGGGACCCCTCAGGGACCTCCCCCCCCCTCAGGTGGGGAGCGGGCACTCGGGACCCCCCCCTCGCTGTGGGGACCCTCGGGGACCCCTCCCCGGCTGGGCCAGGGACCCTCAGGGACCTCCCCTCATGTTGGGATTGGTTTTCGGGACCCCACTGGCTGTGGGGACCCTCAGGGACCCTCAGGGACCCCCCCCCCCCCCCTCCCCCCCTCTTGGGGCCCGGTGTG